GGAGGAGGAGGAGGAGGAGGAGGAGGAGAGAAGAGAAGAGAAGAGAAGAGAAGAGAAGAGAAGAGAAGAGAAGAGAAGAGAAGAGAAGAGAAGAGAAGAGAAGAGAGCAAGCCACACAAGGATAGGGCACTTGGATATTTTTAATTGTGACTTTAAGGGAAGTTATTAACAGAATAAAATATTCTCCCAGATTAAAAAAAAAGTTTTTCCTGAGATGCCACTGGTTTTCTCAAAAAGACTTAGGAATTAAAAAATAAAAGGTCAAAGCATTCTTCAGCACAATCTTGTTCTGTTCCTAATGATTCTCCTGGAACAACAGTCAATGAAATCACCTCTAACACATCAGGGTTTGTTCTGGGCTGTACTTTCTGATTTCTCATTCCAAGACAAAGAAAGACTAAAAATCCAAAACAAGAATTTATTTTTTTCCAAAACAAACTCTGTATTGTTTGAATGATCCACTTCTCAGCTGTGTGAAAGGCTTGGTGGAGTTATTTTTATCTGGGACAAGACATTCATTCTGGAAAGAGTTCAGATCCCTAATTTTATGATGAGCAGAAATATATACTGTTGGCGAAAGACTATGTTAACTGCAGCATCCCTGTCAGCACTTAGGTGCAGAACCCTCAGCACAACATAATTTTATGGATCTCAGGAATTAAGTCTCCTAGATGCAGTGAAGTCTTGATCCAGGTCACTGAATCAGTGCTAGAAGAACACAGATATGCGACACCATCTAGATACACTTTGCTTTTTTGCTCATGCCCATTTCCTCAAATAATGAGCCTTCATGATGCCAAGTGAATCCCAGTGTTTTTATTGGTTATTACTTCCATTAAACAATGTTAGCCAAGTAAAATGACTAAAAGTCAACTAATATTCTTGTAATATGTATATCCTATTAACCTATTTAAATGGGTATTTATATAGCAGTGTATTTTCAGGTTGCAGAAATATAAGTCATTTATATTCCAAATATAACAATCACTTCTGTGTTAATCAGTACAACTCATGGATTCCTATTTCACAGCTGCATGTACTTAGAGGCTTAGTACAAAACCAAGACAACTGTGAAAGTATCCTCATTTGAACAGTTAGTGAGGCCTTAGAGGTGGGTGTCGGCGATGGGTATCCTCCTGAGTTCTACAATCTGGGAGTCAGTCAAGGTGCCTCCCTCCTGGCTGCCTTGACCAGATTCATTATCACTGATACTGAGACCAGCACCTGCAATGACAAAAGAATAAACATGAAAACAGTGCAGTGAGTTCTTGAGTTATATTAAGCCAAAACATGTTTATTTCTATATTATTTTTTTAAAAAGAACTATACATTTAAAATAGATATTAATCCCTATCAGTTATGGGAGTATATTGACATTGACTTTGGTAACTTTCAAACCGGAACTAATCTCTAAAGACACAGATTTGTGGTCTTCATTGTTGTCTGTTTATTTTCGTTTGTTTCTACATGGTAGACAGGTGGAACTTACTACCAAGAACAGTGTTTCTCAATTAAGGGCTTATCAAAATAAAAAATCTAGAGGTTTATGAGATTTTTTTTTCAGCAGGTGAGCAGGGTTTATTGTTAGAAAACATAAACCCTCCAACCTCACAACTCCCACTGAGCCCAGCAGCCCCATAAGTTGATACTCAGTGTTGGTCAGTGATCTGCAAAGAAAAATAGGCACCAAAGACACTGGCTCTGAATGATCAGAGCTGATTCCAAGATGTAGGTAACTAACTGTCTAGCTGTGCTGAAACAGATCCACACAGGGATCCTATGAAGCCAGTTTCTGTTAACTACAGACAGTACCTGATATCTGTTTTCAGGACATTCCAATACTACTTTTTTCCCCCCACAATTCAGAATAATAAGTTCTAAAACTATGCCAGACTAACACCTGTTCTTTTTTTTTCTGTAATACCTAGAACATGAATGCTCATGTACTTGTTCTCTCTCTCTCTCTCTCTCTCTCTCTTTCTCTCATACACCACACACACACACACACACACACACACACACACACACACACAGTGGGGATGTGGTCATGGGATATGCTTGTGTGAATCACCAGAGCTCACAGCTCCTCCCCCTCTGCTTGGCACTAGACTCCGCAAAAAAGGAGAAAATGAAAACCCAGTTTCCTGGGTAGCTGAGACATCTTTCTCAGTCTATGATAGTCTGAGGCAGAGGAGGGACAATTCTACAGAGTTGGCAGCAATGAAAAGATGGTGAATTTGCCTCAGCGTAACCTACGTGGAGAAAGAAGTGCAAACACACTGGTGCTCCTTCTGGCCAAGTCCTCCCTCTCCTGGGCCTCTGTCCTTCACACCCTCTCTTTTAAAGGCTGCTGTTGAAATTTCACTTCCTTCCTTTGCTTCAATGTCACATAACTTGCCCATCTCACCCCCTGATCTGCTGACTCTTTCCAGAGCTCTTCTGCTTTCTCTTGCATCTCCTCCTGCTGTCTCAGCATGGCAGCGCCTGTCTTAAGCCCTGCTTCAAAGCCAACAGGACCTTTCTGACCCTTGGTGCTCTCCCAGCTCTCCTGAATCATGCATGGCATTTGCCTGGATTCTGAAGGAAAGCCTGTTCTCAAAAGATAAATGGCCATGCTTTTCTGCCAGGGATATAGGAGGACTGTTCAACTTGAAAGAACTTCAGGGAATTGGTAAGATAGTAGCCATCCTACAAGGAGGAGGTGACTGAGACCGTGAGATCCATAGCATCTTTAACTGGACAAGAAAGATCTCAAGGGCTTAGAAACAGAACTGCCCAACATGGGACCAGCTAGGAAGATCCAGGGAGGAGCCCACAATCAGCACCAAAGAAGAGCAGTCTTAATGATTTAACAGGTACCGATCCACAGTGATCTCAGAGTCTGCCTACTTTAAATCCCATAAGGAATGCTGTAATAAAGCCTTTGGTGACCACAGGGACAAAGCGCCCTGGAAAGAAAAGTTCAGAGTACTGAGTGCACTGAACTTGTTTAGTAGCCAAGGGCCCTGAGAGATGGAAGAACATTCTAGCCTCCCCTTGAATTATTACATCTAAATGACCTACCTTGTCCTCCTTCCTAATGTCTTCCCAGTTAAAATAAACACACAATATCCAAATATTAATCCATCACAGAGACTCAGAAAGGGCACATATTACACATAAGAATGACTAAGCAGAACTGGGAACACAAACTAGGTCTCTCATATCTTTGTCATTCACTGAGTGGTCTCAAATGATACTTGGCAGCAAGTATTATGATTTTCTCTAAAGGTACTTTGGTATTTATCTTTTAAGCCGAAATTTTGAGAAAAACCCAGCTATTGTGATAACAGCAACTCTTCCCTTTGGTGGACAGAGGAGGCAACTTTGAAGGAATTCATGCAATAATTTACATTAATCTTGAACTTCCCCTTTTCTTAATGTTGAAACAGGATTTGGTTAGGAAAAGGGTGATTATTGGGCTGGGGATTTAGCTCGATTGGTAGAGTGCTTGCCTCACATGCACAAGGCCCTGGGTTCAATCCCCAGTACCACAAACAACAACAACAACAACAAAAGGGGGTGATTATTAGTCCTATTTTACAGATGCAGAAACTGAGTGAAAATCAGAGATGTCCACTGAAGTGCCCACATCAGACCACAGGGAAGTCACGGAAGGGAGATATCTACCAGCCTTGTGATCCCAAATGGAAGGTGTTTTCTTCTACACCATATTTCCTCTTCTGAGGACAGCTCTGGTCTGTCAATTCCTTCATCATGAAGTTTAAAGTGTTCCTCTTTGTCTACAGAATAAATTTCAAATTCCTTGGCACATATTTAAATTCTTTCTAATCCCGTGCCGCCGAATGTCATGGCACAGGAACAAGCAGGTGTTGTGGAATACATTGTGAACTTTTAAAATTATTATTATATATAACAACAAATTGAGCCCAAGAAATAATTTATAACATATACTGAATCTTAACTCTGCCAGACACTGTCCTAAGTGTTTTGCATAGATGATTTCCAAGCCCCATTAAAACCTACAAACTAATTATAATAATCCTCATTTGATAAAGGAGGAAACTGAAAGGCTGAGTCCCTTGCTGAAGTCACACAAGTTCATAGACTGCAGAACTGGGATTTCAACACAGGGTTCTCTGACTTTGTGGCCCATTCTTAGTTTTTAGCAGTTTCCCAGTGTGAAAGGGACAAGAAGGTCATATTCATTCCTTCATTCTTAAAAAAAGAAAAAAATTTCAAAATCTTTCCAAACTTGAATTTTTCCCTTTCATTTCCAACTAACTCTGATACACTACACTGCAGAAGTTCTTGGAGTTTTAACAAGCAACAGTGGTTTGATGTGTGATCTCTCACAGAGAAACTTGAGGAGTTTGTTTTGGGTCTTAATTCTGAATGTTTTCATTTGTGTTCAGAGACTTGTCATTCATTTCCTTCTAACTGAAAGAAGAAGTCGTATCTGGGTTTCCAGGAGGGAAATGTTTACTAAGACATTTGAGTCCTTGGCCTGAAGTAAAACTGGAAGCTAAGGCATTGGGGATGATGGGGAATCAGGCTAGTAGCTCTGGGAGAAGCTGTCTGTGAGTGAAGAGAGGCGTTTCTATGCCAAATATACTCCAAACTTGATATTTTCTAGGATCTTGTCAGCTTTTGGATCTACATGAAAGTGTCAGTACTCAAGATAATTCTTGTTAGGAATGTAAATATAGTACATTCCCTTCCCCTCTACCCTCACCCTCAGTGGAGACTGAGTCTCTCTTCTATTTAGCCTGATGCTTTTTCTTCCCTAAAATGAAGGCTGTCCAAGGGTAACTGTTCCAATTCTCCTAAAGGCTTGGTTGGGGGCACTGATGATACATCAGATAGTTCTATTTAAAAACAAACAAACAATAATATCCAAGACACCACTATTTTAGAACTGATAGTCTCACTTGCCTATAGAAAGGCTGGTGCCCTTCAAGACCAACTAATGGAAGTATGTATTTCTTTTTAGGGTAAAATGTGGATTTCTCATAGAAAAACACTTTATGAACTAGAAAATGATAATAGTGGTTTTCTGGTTTTAAGCAAAATTCAGTAAGGTTAAAATTCAGGTGGGGAGGCTGGAGTTGTAGCTCAGCAGTAGAGTGCTCGCCTCACATGTGCATCACCTCGGGTTCAATCCTCAGCACCACATAAAAATAAATAAGTGAAATAAAGGTATTGTGTCCAATGACTACTAAAAAATAAGTATTAAAAATTCAGATGGAAAACAGATTGGCTTTGGAGTCAGGACTTCCTATTTTAAACTAATATACTTGTTTTACTGTTACTTTGAAATTTGCAACAAAAACTGTACACCAACATGGTGGTCTCAAAAATATTGTCTTTCTCATTTTTGAATTTGATTGTTAGAGGTGAAGATAAAGGCACATTTCTAAGTGCTTAAAAAGAAGTGAGAGTGTTTTCCTGTTTGGAAACGGATTATCTGAGCTTTCTTTCCCTCTTAGAGGTCTAATCTTTCTCAGTTTAATGTAATTAGAAAGAGATTGTCTTAGCTAAAATGACATTAAATTCTCTCTAGTATACCCAGTAAAGGTATTCTAATCACTGAATTTATTTATTTATTTATTTATTTATTTATTTAAACCCAGGGTGCTTAACCACTGAGCAACACCCCCAGTCCTTTTTATTTTTTGAGACAGGGTCTTGGTTAATTACTTAGGGCATCACTAAGTTGCTGAGGCTGGCTTTGAACTCTTGATCCTCCTGCCTCAGCTTCCTGAGTTGCTGGAATTACAGGTGTGTGCCACTACATCTGGCTCATATAAGTCTTTTAATATGTGCTCAAATATCTAAACATTATTTATTGAAAAAATAAAAAATAGAGTAATTGAAAGGGCACAGGAAATGTTATCAAAACTTGACTACTGAAAGACCTATTTGGTCCTCTTTCCAGGAAGTCATCCATCCATCCAAATGTAAAAGAAAAGCTTGTTCATACATTCAAGAAATAAAAAAACATTAGGTATCAAATTGCTAAGATACTAAGATGCCTTTATATCAGTTTAAAAGAATAATGTAAATTTTTATTTTTAAACACCATAATTTACAATCAGTAAATTTTATAGTTTTGATACTCAAATACATATGAGAGACAAGATCAACCAGAAACTGGATGCTAGACAATCTGCACTTATGTTCAAAAGGGCAGTCATTGCTCAGCTCCAATGGAGCAGTGCAATCTAGATTTCAGGTATTCTGTTGCTAAATTTTTCTAGAAATTCTGGGTTTTTATGGGCTGTCTCTAAACTTTTATGTTGGGTCAAAAATATTAGAATGACATGGATCAAACAAAACACCACGTTTGGCTGAATCTGGCCTATAGGTCAATTGTAAATTCAGCTGTAGATGGAATGGCATTTGAATTGCTCCTTTATTTGACCTTATTCTGTGATGGAGAATGTCTGGGAGGAGTGCTTGATTATTATAGTACCTTTTCTAAAAATACAAGGATCCAATGTTAGAGATTGTTATTTTTATCTTTTAAAGTATTTATTTCCTAATGAGCCTAGGGAACTCTGAGGAATGCTAAACTAAATCTATAAGTAAGCAAGTCATTCCATACATTCCTGAATCAAATGCATTTAGTACTTGTTATATGTATATATATATATATATAAAGCATGCAGATCTAATTGAATTATGCTCCAGGAATTCGTTTTATGTTTCCAGCGTCAGACCATCAACAACTGACAACACTGTATGTAAGAACTGGGGACATAATTTGCCCTGAGCATGATTTTTAATCTGAAAGCTCCTTTTCAGTTCTAACTCCAATGGTTGTTTTATGTAGCTGATCATTCTCTCTTTCTCAAAACTCTCTTCCCTCTTTTGTTTTTGTTCTGACTATGCCAGAGTTTCTCTGTGGGACCCTTGTCTATTTATTCTTCAGTGTAGTTATTATATAGGACTTTGTTCCTGTTTTCCTTCCCTTTCCTTCTCTCCCCTCCGTTCCTCATCTCTTTCCCCTTCTCCTTCTACTCTCCCAGATCTCACCTTGTTTTTCCATAGCTATAGGTATAAGCTATATATAATCTCTGTGCGGATCACTTTCAAGTATTAACTTCCATTCTGGACACTCACCTAAGATCCCAACCTGAATACTCAGGAACCACTAGGCCTAACATCTAAGTCTTAACTCCTCAGCTTCCCCCTGCTGACAAAACATAAATACAAATAAACAAATGTCTGATTACTGTTCCTTAGTCGCCCAGGGCAGCAGCAGGAGCTTTGCAACTGTCCCCTGGGTTCCTCCTCAGCGGTCTTCCTGTGTTGTTCTTATTTTGTTTTCACTCCTAACATTTGAGGCTTTGACCTCATTTCCTTGGACTACAGTAATAAACTTCCAGTCTTTCTGATATTGCTTCTAAATTTACTCTTCATACTTTCATAAAAGTTATTCTGCCTCAAAAACCGATGGGAACATGTTAGGCCTCTCCTCAAAAACCTTCATGGCTATGTTCTACAAAAATCTCACTCCTTACCGTGATGACTGAACAGTAATTTAATATCATGCAAAATATCAACAAGAGTTCTGCTTCCCCAAATGAATCTATACCAATAAATGTGCTTCAGAAATACCAGGTTGAGGGGCTAAGGTTGTGGTTCAGTGTCAGAGTGCTCGCATCGCACATGTGAGGCACCGGGTTTAAACCTCAGCACCACATAAAGATGAAATGAAGATATTGTGTCCACCTTACAACTAAACAGTAAGTATCTGAAAAAAAATACCAGGTTGAACTAAATAAAGTGGGCTTCTTTAGGAGTTTTAGAACTACTAAAACAATAATATGTAGTAAGAATCTTTGCCATTTCTCAAATACACTTGATCAAGGGATCCTCCTATGGAGAAATGACTGTGAAGAGCTTCTTGCCAAACAGGCCCCACCCTGACAAGCTTTTGGGCTTTGACTAATTCTATTTCCTCAGTTTGTAAGGCCCTTCCTCCATTCTACACGTGTTTAAAAAGTACAGGTTCTTCAAAAATCAAAACAATATATCTCATAGCCAATCAAACTGTAATATAATCAAATGTACTTTTGAATAAATATTTCGGCAAGTTCACCTAAGCATGGACATATCTTTCTTATTTGGATATCTAGAAATTAAAAGTTCATATATATTTTAATAATAGTGACAGTTCAACATTCTTTTTCTCAGGAAAAGAATGTTTTAAAACTACCCATTAGGGGCTGGAGTTGTAGCTCAGTGGTAGAGAACTTGCCTAACATGTGTGAGGCACTGGGTTCAATTTTCAGCATCACATGTAAATGAATAACAATAAAGGCCCATCAACAACTAAAAAAAAATTTAAAAACAACTTTAAAAAAATTACCAATAAGGTTTGAAAAACCTAAAATTATCTCACAATTATATTTTAAGAATAGAATTTTGATGAGTGAATTATCTACTATATTTATACTATAAATTAAACATGTAGACACTAGAAGAATACACATTAACTAGTTTCTTGAAGAGCACATGACCTTTAATCATGTTTCCAGGGTCCTTCATGTGACTTAGCATATTTATAGCATCACACACTGCTAAACTGTGGTGATTAGGACTGCATTTCTGTCCTCTGTAAGAGTTCCTCATTGGGGTCACAGGTTGAGTGGGATTGACTATACAGCGTTTCATTGCCACTTTATATAAACATAAGGGGCAATGAAACTCTGTGTGTGTTTGTGTGTATGTGTGTGTGTGTGTGTGCATGTGTATATAAAGGAGCAATGAAATAATATACATATATATGTATATATAAAGGAACAATGAAATGAAGGGTCAATGAAATGCTGTATGTAATGGCACTTTGAAAACTATAGAACTATACAACACTCATTATGCTGCCTTTGCAAGATTCTGCTTGAAAAATACTCCACAAGAAGATCTTTTTGGCAGGTCAGAGGCAAAATTCCCTCAGTGAAATCTCTACTAGCTATCTTACACAGAACTTGACTCAATAGTATCTTGGTGTTTTAGCAAGATTCTAGGACAGAGAAATTTACATTTAGTTGGAGTATGTCTCATTCTTTCTTAAAAGCAAATTATATATTATTTTAGGTTGTGCTATATTTGGTTCCAAGAACAAAATATTCTAGAGTTTAACTGGGATTAGGAAAGGGTCATGAGAATCAGGATGTGCTAAGGGTACTGATGGTACTGTTGCCACTTCTTGAGAAGATAAAAATATTATCATATAAGAGTTCCTACTTCTAATGTAATTTGTGGGTTCATACATACCAGTTTTTAATGCAAATATCAAGTCATCAAACTCCTGTGACTCTTCATCTGCTATCAATGACCCCTGGCCATATCCTGCAGTAGGAAACGTAGCTCCATTTTGTGGACTTGTCTTCAAATCAGGGCTGGCCTGACTGGCTTGTTGGAAGGACGCTCTCTCCCAGTCAGGTGGCACCTTTTGAATTGGGATAAAGAGAAAAGGAAACCGTAATGTGAATGCATTCACATTCATTTTGAAATGCATATTAACAATTTATTTCCACATCTCATTATAAAGACCTAGTGAAATAGCTACTGAATTATTTTTAAATTAAGACCTTTAGTTTTATCTTAATTCTTTAGAAAATTATGTCTTTCCTTGTATCAATCTAATCTGGTGATTTAAATAATTTCTGTATTAGAATTACATGTAGATTTCTGTCCTGTAATGTATACAGAAATAAAACTAATTTTAATCTAATAAGTATACTTTATTATTTTTTAAGATGTGCAGAAGGAAATTCTGTTATGTACATATACATATTAAAGACTACTCCTAATCTTTAATCTAAAATATATTTTAAATATAGTAGTTATCTATGAGAACACACTAAATTGAAAAATAAATGTTCTTTAAACCCCTCCTTGTTTTCATTTAAATGATTAAGAAAATAAGTTCTATCATTAAATGTTTAAATGTACTCATGTTCCTCTATGTTACTGGTAAACAATTCCTTAATCCTTCCTTTCCTTTCCAAGGCTTTTCTTCTGTGAAAGTCTTTTTATAATGCCTCCGACAGTCCCTCCTAGACAGCTGGATCAAGGCCAGTTCCAAGTCTCTGAGGAATGCAGAGCACACATTGAGCTATGTGGCTATGCAACATCCCAATGAACACTCTAGCAGTGGCTCTAGCCCAGGAATTGGACCATCACAGCTGCTGCTTACTAGGATAAGATTTTTTAAATTTTTTTTGTTTTTTTTTTTCAGTCATACATAAAAGTAGAATATATTTTGACATACATACACAGAGTATAACTTCCCATTTTTGTGGGTGTACTGGTTGTGAAGTTCCACTGGTAGTGTATTCATATATGAACATAGAAAAGTTATGTCTAATTCATTCTACTGTCTTTCCTATTTGAATCCCTATCCCTTAACTTCATTCCCCTTTGTCTAATCCAGTGAACTTCCTCTTCCCTGTTTATTGTGAGTTAGCATATCAGAGAGAACATTCAGCCTTTGGTTTTTTGGGGGATTGGTTTATTTCATTTAGCATGATAGTCTCCAGTTCCATCCATTTACCAGCAAATGCCATAATTTTCTTCTTCTTTATGGCTGAGAAATATTCCAGTGTGTGTGTGTGTGTGTGTGTGTGTGTGTGTACTTTAGTTGGAGTATGCCTCATTCTTTCTTATCATTTATATATGATAATGTGATATATATATATCACATTTTCTTTATCCAAATATCTGTGGAAGGACACCTAGGTTGGAATCCATAGTTTACTATTGTGAGTTGAGCTGCTATAAACATTGATTTGGCTGCCTTACTATGGTATGCTGATTTTAAGCCCTTTGGGTATATGCAGAAGAGTGGAATAACTAGGTCAAATGGTGGTCCCATTCCAAGTTTTCTAAGGAATCTCCAGAGTGGTTATAGCAATTGTCAGTCCCACCAGCAATGTATGAGTGTACCTTTCCCCCCACATCCTTGCCAAGATTTATTGTTACTTGTATTCTTGATAATTGCCATTCTGACTGGGGTGAGATGAAATCTCCAAGTAGTTTTAATTTTCATTTCTCTAATTACTAGAGGTATTGAACATTTTCTCATATATTGGACGACTGATTGCATTTCTTCTTCTATGAAGTGTCTGTTCAGTTCTTTTAGCATAAGGTTTTCTGAGAGACTGTAGGGGTAGTTTATACTGAGAAAAATGACCAGAGGACTTTAGAAATTACACTGAAAGAAGCCTGACTTGGTGGCATACGCCAGCAATCCCAGCAGCTTGGGAGACTGAGATAGGATTGCAAGTTCAAGGCCAGCCTCAACAATTTAGTGAGGCCTCAACTTAGTGAGGCCCTCAGCAATGTGGTGAGATACTTCCTCAAAATAAACAAAACAAAACAAAACAAAAAGGGGATATGGCTCAGCTCAGTGGTAAAATGCACCTGAGTTAATCCCCAGTACAAAAAAAAAAAAAAAGTACACTGAAAGGAGATGATTCCTTAAAATTTTTAATGTGAAGTTGATCATCTTGATGAGCACTGTCCAAAAGAACTTTCTGCCATGATACAAATAATTTATGTCTATGTTCTCGAATACCTAAAGCTACCAGACACATGGTTGTTAGCACTTAAAATGTGGACAGGGTGAAAGATAAATCGAATCTTTAGTATTTTAAAATTTTAGTTTAAATTTAAATAGCCACATGCAGATAATGGCTATTTTCTATGAGTGTTCATATCTAGACAAATGTTAGATTAGCTAATCATTCGAAAAAACAACAAAAAAAAGTTTTTAAAGATTCATTTCTGAACGTTTCATTATAAAAATATCTGGGTTTTTTGGTATCAATTTTGATGAAATAATTCTATTTTTTAAAGAACTTTTGGGATACAGAAAATCTATTTGTACTAGATTTCCAAATATTTAGAGATTCTATAACCTTATCTCAAATTTTAAATGCTATACTTGAACTTATTCATCTTATAGCTAAAATGTGTACCCCTTAATCAAAATATCTCTCTATTTTCCCCACCCACAGCCCTGGCACACATCTTTTTTACTGTTTCCCTAATATCAGTTAATAATTCTTTACATGAAATTTCCTTTGTTTCAAATATATATATATATATATATATATATATATATATA